CCTCCAGGCCGGCGTCGGTGATGGTGGAGCGCTTGAGGCTCATGGCCTTGACGCCCTTCTTGGAGAGGGCGTAGTTGTCGATGAACTCGCAGATGTCCAGGTCGGAGACGCCCACCAGGCAGAAGCCCTCAAACCCGCGCGCCGCGAAGCCCTGCAGGCTGACGAACTCCTTGTCGCCGCCGGGCAGCGCGTTGTACAGCTCCTTGGCGTGCAGCACCGGCGTGAGCCCCGCCCAGAACTTGGGCTGGTAGAGCACGCGCCGCCAGGCCTTGCACACCTGGGCCAGCACGCACCTCTCGCAGGCCGAGAAGTACCAGAAGAGGCCGTTGAGGATCTTTTCATCTGTGGCCAGTGGTGGCCGCTCCGCCAAGGGCCCAGGCACCGGGGCTGAGGCCGGTCCGCCGAGAGAGAGCCCCGCTGATGGACACAGGCCCCCGGCCAGGGCGGCCCGGGGCAGCGGGGCGGCCAGGCTGGGCGGCGGGAGCGCGGGCGGCGGCTGGCAGGGCCGGTTCCTGGCGGCGGGCGTGCCCTTGGTGATGCTGGCGGCACCCATGCCGCTGGGCTGGCCCGGCAGCTTCACCAGGCCATTGCGCGGCAGGCACGGAGGCTTGGGGTCGCCGTCGACGCCCGGGCTGGACATCCTGCCCGCTTGCTCTGCAGGGAGGGCCAGGAGGGGCGTGAGTGTGCTGCCCTCTCCCGGCGGCGGTGGGGCCGGCCCCTCCCCCCAGGTATCCCGGCTCCCAGGCTGGGGATGGGGCCCCAGCCGAGTCCCCGAGCGGCGCGGTGACACACAGCCGCTGAGGCTCCGTGCCCACGCCGAGACTGCCTTGCCCCTAGGGGTCACGGAGAAGCCCCCAGAGCAGCAGCCCCGGAGGGAGCAGCAGCCCCGGAGCCTAGTGACGCTGAGGGGAGCCGGAGCTGTGAGGGGGGCCGGGCAGCAGCCCGACGCCACCCCAGCACCACACCCTCCATGGCTGCAAGCCTTGGGCCGGTCACCCTCGCCAGCATCCCCGTCAGGGGTGGCCCAGGCGAGAGCGGGGTCACTGGAACGCGAGGCCTTCGGGCCACTAGCCCAGCTGTGGGTGGCAAGGTGCAACTGCTCCCACGACCACGAGTCCCCGGGGGGCCCTCGGCCGGCTGCCCCCCCCGAGATGCCGCCTGGGTCCGGTGGTGGGGTCAGGCCTTGCCCAGAGGAGGCGGCCGTGCTGCCTGCGCTCCCGGTCAGCAGGGGGCCCCGGCCAGTGCCCCGGGGTGGTGGGCGTCAGCCTGCAGGCGGCTGTGCCAGGCCAGGGCCGGGGCCCCGGAAGGGCTACAGCCGTCCACAGGCCCCCAGCGGGGGGAGGGACACAGCGTCTCGCGAGGGGTGGGGTGAAGCCCGCACCGGCCAGCCCTGGGGCGAGGGAGAGGCGGTGGGCAGCTCCCGCTGCGGCCGCGCCGGG